TGTATGTATGTGTGTGTGTGTGTGTGTGTGTGTGTGTGTGTCTTATAGTTACTGTATATATAATATAATTTAATATTATATATATATCAAAAAATAACTATCTAAAAATAGCCATGATGATTATTGCATTTTATATGATATTTATTATTTAAATATTTATTTATTTTTATTTTATGTTTTTTTGGAAAAATAAATACTAACAATTGATGTAGAAATATATATGATATATATATATATATATAATGTGATGATTTTTAAGTATATGATTATCCAGTAGTAGTAGTAGTATTAGTATTATTATATTTTTCAAAAAAATGCTGATAATATAATATTTTTGTTGTTTGTTTAAATAAATGTAAAAATATTTATTATTTTCATTATTCAACAAAACTAAAATACATATTTAGTTTATATTTGAAAATGTTTTATTTATTGTTGTTTTATTTTAATACAATAATATAGTATAGTTTTACAGTATATTCTACTGTATATATATAGATTGATATATTAAATAAATTTTAACTCAAAAAAAAAACTATACACTGTATTATTGTAATAAATATTTATTAGAAAAAACAATTACAAAAAAAATTGTACAATTGTGAACTTTGACATTTTTATAGTAAATGTGACATTTCAAAAAATAGATAATTTAAATATTCAATACCTAATCAAAACAATCCAACAACTGAAAAAAAAACAAACAAACAAAAACAGGAAATAATTTAAACTCAAATAAATATTATATTAAGACACACACACGAATCCACACATACATACACACACACACACATACATACATACATACATAGATATACACAGACATACATACATACATACATACACACACACACACACACACACACACACACACACACACACACATATATACACACACACACACATATATATACACACACATACACACACATACACACACATACACACACATACACACACATACACACACATACACACACATACACACACATATATACATACATATATACATACATATATAGATACATACAAATACATAAATACTGATAGATAAAATAAAGTTAATACAATAATATTACTATGTGTGTGTGTCTATGTGTATGTGTTTTTTTGTTATCATATTACTAGTAATTTTATTTAAATTTGTTATTTTTTATTAAAACTAAACGCCCATGCTTAAAAATAAATATTATTTAGATAATATACAATTATATATAATTTTTATTTGCGTAGAAAATAAATGTTAATGTTTTTTAATAAAAATTTTCAATAAAATATTAGTTATATAATATAAACCAATAGATCAGATAAATAAATAATTTTGTTTTTATTTTGAAAATAAACGTAATATAAAATTTAATAAATAATAATAATAATAATAATACTTAATTAATTTTGTGAAATTTAATAACTTATATCCAAAATGTTGTGTATATAAACATATTTTTGTTGTTGTTTTTGTTAATTAAAAGCCCACACATTTAATCTTCAATAACATATTATTAAAGATTATATACATTATATTAGTTATATATATACATAACTAAATTTATAATTAATCTCTAAAAATTTTATATAATTATAAATTTAATTTTTTTTGTTTAATATTATAATTTTGTTTTTTTTGTTATTGTTATGTGTGTGTGTGTGCTTGGTTATATTTTTAAATTGTATATATATATATCACATATAAATAAATATTTTAGATATATTTTTTTTATTATTTATATTAAATATACATATGACATTTATCAYACACACACACACACACACACACACACACACACACACATACATACACACACACATATATATACACACACACACATACATACACACATATACACACACATATAAAAGACAAGTTATGTAATACTAAAGATAGTTGTCATCAGAAAAAAAGTTAAATATTTAAAATATAATAAATAAGTGGTTTTTTAAATATGTTTTACAATATATATATTTTATATATTTATATATTATGTATATATATATATATATGTAATAGTAATACTATAGTAGACTTATAATAAACCTTTATTTTGCAAATATGACATTTGAAAAATCTTATTTCAATAACACCCACACATATTATACATACATACTGTACATACTATACTATAGTATAATACCTGAGACAACAACAACCTTAATATACTACTAACACACTGTTACTAACACACACACATACACACACTAACACTGAAAATACATTGAAACATAAATTAAATATTGAAGATATGGATGAATACATAATAATAAAAAAATTATTATTGCATTTAGTTATATAATAATAATAATAATAATAATAATAATAATAATTTCTATGGATTTTAGTACTATTAAGAAAGTCATTGACATTATATTTATTATTATTATTTAATATGTTTTTATTAATATTTCAATTCAAATACTGTATAAAAATATATATATATATATATATATTCAAGTCTATAACCTTGATCATGAAATAATATATTATTATTATTTTTATTATTATTTTAAACTTTTATGCTATTAAAGTTGTCGACAAATATTTAACAATTTGTTATTTCAATTAAATAATAAGTGTATAAAATAAATATTAGTTTTAAATTATATATTTTTTTCTAAAAAAAAATAAAAATAAAAACTTTGATAACAAATTGCTATTTGAATTAATTTACTATTTTATTATTATATATAATATATATATATACTGTATATAACAATATGTCCTAAATAACAAAAACATTATGTAGGCGACAATTTTATTATTATTAAATTTTTGTTTGTTTTTATTTTGTTGTAAATTGTTAGTTATATATATATATACAATATATATATATATATATAACATTTAGTATATATCAAAAAAAGGTAAATAAAAATTGTATCAATTTTTATTATTAGTATTGTTATTGTGTTTGTGTTTTATTATAAGTTTTTCAATTCAATTCAATTGAAACATAAAATATAAAAACAAATAAAATAAAATTAAAAATCAAAAAATTTTTCATTAAATACCAATAACCTTAAAGTATATAATATATATAATAAATATTAACTTTTATTTCTATACCTATATCTATAACAGTTAAATATACAACAATATTATACATAATTTATAAATATATATTAATAGATTATTATTATTATTATTATATACCTGTAATATATGATAATAATAATAATAATCCCTAAATGTCTAGACATTTATTTTTGTTGCTGAATATAATTATTATATTATGTCCACACAAAAAAATAATAATTAAAAATTTTGTTTTGTTTATTAATTTATGAAAAACCTACATAGATACAATTAATCTATAAAGTTATATATATATATATATATTACTTATATATATATATAACTTTTATATATTACTTATATAAGTTTTAAAAATAACTTATCAATTAAAAATGTGTTGTATTTTAATTTAATTATATAGTATATTATTAGTTTGAAATAAAATTATTTAGTAATATAATAATATTTGCATATAATTAAAACCTATTATTAAATTAAGCAAAACAAAAAAAAAACAAAACAAAAATAAATAAAAGCAACAGTCAATTTAATTTATATTATCTAAAAAATTAATTAATAAGTTAATTAACATTTAATATTTATTTGTTTTTTTAGATAAAAATTATAAATTAAAAATAACTAATAGATCTAATATATAAATATATTATATATATTTAATAATAATTATTATTATATAATAACATATTGTTAATAATAAAAAATAAAATATCAATGATTAGTAAAATTTTTTTTTGCTTAAAATATTTTAAATATTTTGTATAAATATATATATTTATATTATACAGTAGTATATAATCAATCAACTAAATACATGTCTAGACAATTTTTGCATTATATTTACATTAAATATAATATAACAACAAAATAATATTTTGTTAAAAATATATATTTGAAATATATATCAAAAAATTTATTGTTTTTTTTCATTTAGTTACGAAATTATTTCAAAAATTTTCGTAAACAATTCTAGAAATTTATTATTTTATTTTAATATATATATATTGCAATATTAATATTTTTTATTTGCCTATTATTTATTATTTTCTAAAACAATTAAATAAAATAATATTATTTCCAATTATTTATTTATTTTTTTCGGTAACATTAAAAACAAAAAAACTAAACACAAAAATACTAATCATATAATATATATATATATACTGTATATATATATTATAAAATAATTTCAAGTACCCATTGACGTCAATATATTTATATATACTATATATACTTTATGTATATATTTAATATATATATATAAATTTATTATATAATAATAAATATTTTAAAAGATAATACTTTTTTTACATATATATACTAATGTATTAAAAATAATAGTTTATATACAACAGTATATATAACTTATAATAGAGAATATTCTCTATTTATTTTAACTTATTTTTGTTTTGTTTTGTTGTTAAATAAATAGAAATTTGTTTTTTCAAAAATTTTATTATTTATTTAAAATAAATTGAATTTTTTGTTTTTTTTTGTTTTTATGTCAAAAACATTAATATTATTTTCATATATGATATTATGAAAAAAATGTATTATACTATAGATATTATATTTAAATAAATAAAATAAAAAATTTATATAAAAAAATAATAAGATAAATGAATTATTTTTTAAAAACTAGTTTATTATAATTAATTAATTTGTTATAATTTAATTGAATTATTAATATTTTGAAAATATTAAAAAATAAAAATTAATACAGTATACAATATTTATAGTATACACTAGTGTTATCTAGTGGTAGATATGTTAAAAAAAATTTTTTTTAAATGTGACATGTTTAAATAAATAATCAAAATAAACAAGTATGTTTTTTTTAAAAATTATTTATTTACATTTAGTTTATAATACATTGTATTAAATATTTTTTTTTATAAAATTAGCATGTTATAATAAATAATAAAATTTTTACAATTTATTAACTAGATAATAATAACAATAATAATTATAATGTAAACAAAAATCAGCAATGTACAATTAATAATTATTTTTAGAGGTTAAAGTAAGTTATGATTTATTTATTCAAAAAAATTAATAAAATAATAATTTTTATATCTAATAATTTTATTATAATAATAATAATTATTATTTTATTTTTTATATAATTATTTTTTTTTTGGTAATATCTATGAATAGATATTTTCATCAATCAATCAAATGGGTCGCCGATTATCTGCCAATACATTGACACTATCGGAGGTCAGTATATATTTAATATATATATATATACTGTATATACATATATATATACTGTATATACATATATATATACTGTATATACAAATATATATACTGTATATACATATATATATACTGTATATACATATATATATACTGTATATACATATATATATACTGTATATACATATATATATACTGTATATACATATATATATACTGTATATACAAATATATATACTGTATATACATATATATATACTGTATATACATATATATATACTGTATATACATATATATATACTGTATATACATATATATATACTGTATATACATATATATATACTGTATATACATATATATATACTGTATATAAAGTTATTCCATGATAAGCCCGACTACTTTTTATTTGTAACTTAAATTGCGCGCAGATGCTTTAAGTATAATAACATAAAGTTACAATAAATAATGTCGTATAATTATTATTAAAAATAAAAAGTTTATAAAAAAAAGTTTAAATATCAGTATTAATATAATTATTACAATTATTTATTAAATAAATTAAATATTTTATTAAATATTAAATTAATGAAAAAACAGGTTTAGGTATATTTAAATAACGGCGAGTATTTTCAATTCCATCTTTTTTTCTGTAATTTTTTTCTAATTTATCTGTATGTTCTGTAGATTTTTTCCAATGTTTATTAACTAAATCAAAAACTTTAACTATATAATTTAAATATTGTTTGTCATTTAGTCCCATATTTCCTTTAGATATGATATCCTTCCAGTGAGCCCACATAAGTTCGATTGGATTTAACTAATTAATTAATATTAATGATATAAATTATTAAAATAGTTAATCTATCACTCAATCAATTAAATAATAAATCAATCAATTAAACAAACAATCAATTAGTTAATCAATCAATCAATCAATTAATTAGTTAATCAATCAATTAGTTAATCAATCAATTAGTTAATCAATCAATCAATCAATCAATCAATTAGTTAATCAATTAATATATTTAAAAAATTATTTACTTCACAATTATAAGGCGGGAGACGAAGAGGAATATGTCCCGCATTTTTTATTAATTGATCCACAGCGTATAATCGTTTAATATTTTTTGATTTAATTATACTAATTAGCTGTTTTTTATTTGATTTGCGATTGAATTTTATTTTATTTTCCGTCAACCAAAGTTGTATATTTCCTTTTCGCCAACTATTATTTGGCAATCTGTTAATAATTAATTAAATTAGTTAAAAAATAGTTAAAAATAGTTAAAAATAGTTAAAAATAGTTAAAAAATAAATGATTAAATCACATAAATTTATTAAAAATACATACTTGTTTAATATTCTTGAATGTGTTTTTGCGTTATCGAATATGATAACAGATTTTTCTTTCAAATTTGGTAATAATTGTGTTTTTATCCATTCTTCGAATTTTTCGCTATTTAATTCATCATTTACTGTAATTTTTAATGCTCCATTGATAAAACCATTTTTACCACCGGCATGAATAATACTATATCGTTTACCTTTAACTAAATTAAAAAAAATAAACATTAAGTTTTGTATAATTAAGAAAACAATTCATCATTTAATAAAAGACTTTTTAATGTATTGAAAATCATTCTAAATATATATACAATATAGTTATAAAAGGTTACAAAAATAACTTACCCATTGAAAATTTTAATCTTAATTTTTTCGAGTTATTTAATGGCAATAATATTTTTGTTTTAACATAATTTCTATGAATATATGTCTCATCTAAAAATACTATATTATATTCATTTAAATCAATTTTATATAATAAATATTTTATTCTCATTTTTTTTATTCTAGGACTTTGAATTTTAATTTCTCTAACAACTTTGTTATAATTACTTTTTTTATAGCCTACTTTTTTAATAATTTTATAAAAAGTACTTTTTTGGCATTTGCTAAATGAAACATTAATATTATTATCTTTAATTTCTCTGAATACTTTTCTAAAATCACAGCTATTTTTAGTTTTATAATAATTTACTATAATATTATCTATTTTTTTAATATCACTATTATTCACATTAAATTTTTTTTTAATTTTTGTTGTTTTCGGTGTTTTGATACCATTTCTGTAAAAAATAATAGATAAATTATTTTAACTATTAATGAGTATTTTGGAGGTTTTTTGAATAAATTACCATGTACAGTTTTTTAGATATTAAATTATTAAAATGTAACAAACCAAAAAGCCATTAAGTACATACCTTATTAGTTCTTTTAGTCGGGTTTTACCGATACCATAATTATCAATTAAATGTTTAATTATAATCACATTTTTAATTTTTTGTGATTTTAGTTCGTTATATTTAGTTAATATTAACTCTTGTTTGTCAACACTTATAGCTCTTCCAGGTCTTGATTTATTATTCATTATTATTTTACAATTAGGACTAGAATTATTTCAATTAAATATCACAAATAAATTTAAATCACAATTAATAAAAATAAATTATAAATATACTATAAAATAATATTTATTGCACATTATATTATAAATAAAAAATTTATGGTAAGACATGTGCTCGCATATAAAATATTTTGCGCGCTTTTTAAAACAGGTTTTTAAATTGGTCGGGCTTATCATGGAATAACTTTACATATATATATACTGTATATACATATATATATACTGTATATACATATATATATACTGTATATACATATATATATACTGTATATACATATATATATACTGTATATACATATATATATACTGTATATACATATATATATATATACTGTATATACATATATATATAATAATTAATTAATTAATTTAAAAATCAAAATTAACTTTTGATTTTTGTTTTTACCAATTAGTTTATGCTTAGACAGCAAGTCCTCAGTCTATACAAGTCATTCATGAAACAGATTAACCGTACGGACAGCCAACGTGAGCTCCGGGATTGGATTAGACAGGACTTTGAGGCTAATAGACATCATACACAACCGGTATAGACTACCCCTCCTCTCTCTCTCTCTCTCTCTCTCACCCACCCCCTCTCCCAGAGATACACTGTTATTATTATTATAGATATATTAATAATTATTAAATTTTTTTATTATTGATAAATTTAGGAAACAATTAAAATGCATTTAACACGGGGTAGGACTGTATTGAAACAATTGGAGACAACTATGCTATTATCATCAGCAGCAGCAGAAAAATGATCATGGTAGTTTTTTTTAAATTTTAAATTTTGTAAATAAATTAGTTATTTAAAAAAATTGTATAAATAAAAATTGAAAAAATTGTTAAATAAATTGTTTTTTTTACAAATAATTTGTTTTTTCTTAATAAATGTAATTATAATTATTTTTAATTAATTTATTAAAAAAAAGACATTAATATATTAGTAAAAAAAATTATATATTACAAAATTTTTTTTAAATATTTTAATTTTTTTAATATAGATATTTATTATTTAATTTTTTTTGTTTAGAAATATATCAATTATTTTTTTTTTTGAATAATTATTCATCATTTTATTTTTATTTTTTTTATTAATACAGTTATTTTCCTTAAATATTTACATTTATAATATATTATAATTTTTAAAATTATTTTTTATTATTTAAATAGAGTCTATTAAAAAAAATTAACAAATTTTCAGTTATTTTTTTTAAAAATATGGATTCAAAATCAATTAGTAAAAAATATTTATTAATAATATATTTATATATTTATTTAGATATTAGATTTAATTAAATTATAAAATATTTAATTATAAAATAAAATTATTAATTTATTTTTTTGATAATAAATTATTTTTTATTTTTTAATTCAAACAAATAAGATTTGTTGCGCAACACTTGCGACATAAACTTACGGCACTATCGGCGCAAATATCCGATACCTAAGCTGACCACTCGATTGCCGTTCAAACGTAATCCGTTGGACATTACTGTCGGCGACGATGAACTAAACCGATGGCTATACCAACAGTTCCCGACCAGTCATATATCGGCTGAAAAATATCAGACTATAGCCATCACATCCTATCTGGTTATCGCCTATTTTTATCCCCAATGTATCCAAAAGGACAGGTATTATCATTGTTTACAGTATATTATCTTTTTGTTTGTTATGGACGACAATACTGAGGAACAGTGGGGTCTGTTGAGTACCGATCATATGGACGACTGTTGTCGGGTATGGTCWCAGTTGCCGATACTATTGGCTCAGATAGGAGGCAACAGTGGTAGTGGTAGTGGTAGTGGTAGTGGTAGTGGTAGTGGTAGTGGTAGTGGTAGTGGTAGTGGTAGTGGTAGTGGTAGTGGTAGTGGTAGTGGTAGTGGTAGTGGTAGTGGTAGTGGTAGTGGTAGTGGTAGTCCGGATGACAACCTCATGGAGCCATACGTTCAGCAAATTAGGCCAACTTTTCAAACAATTTACCGATCATTTACTGGCCAACAGTGGCAACGTTTTATGAAAACCTTGTCAGACTATGTGATCGGTAATGTCGATGAAAACATGTCCAGAGCTGGTGGTCGTCGTCGACAACAATTTCAATCAGTGGATCAATTGTTAAGCGTATGTTATGTTTTATTTCAGGGTTGCTTAAGGTTTTCGATTTCACGGAAAGGGGGTGTATAGGGTGGGGTGAATATTTTTATTATTGCATTTTTAAATAACTAAATTCCCACTAAATTCCCAATAAATTCCCACTAAATTCCCACTAAATTCCCACTAAATTCCCACTAAATTCCCACTAAATTCCCACTAAATTCCCACTAAATTCCCACTAAATTCCCACTAAATTCCCACTAAATTCCCAATAAATTCCTACTAAATTTCCTACTAAATTCCAACTAAATTCCAACTAAATTCCAACTAAATTCCAACTAAATTCCTACTAAATTCCCAATAAGTTCCTACTAAATTCCCTACTAAATTCCTACTAAATTCCCTACTAAATTCCAACTAAATTCCTACTAAATTCCCAATAAGTTCCTACTAAATTCCCAATAAATTCCAAATAAATTCCCACTAAATTCTCACTAAATTCCCAATAAATTCCTACTAAATTCCCTACTAAATTCCCTACTAAATTCCAACTAAATTCCTACTAAATTCCCAATAAGTTCCTACTAAATTCCCCACTAAATTCCCACATTAGCAATCCTGGTTTTATTATTATAACATCTATTATCGTTTATTTTATTTTTTTTAATATACTATGGCTTAAAAAATATATATATACAGTACAGTATATATACGGTATTTATCTTAAAAACAATAGATTCGCCGAAAAACGATTGGTCTAATACCGACTGTAATTATTAATGAATATGCATTAGATATTCAGATACCTGAGCCCAACAACGATTGGCTGGACCAACAACCTATGTACCGACTACTTGTCCAATTAGCCACCGATCATATTATCTATATAAACGATTTGTTTTCATTTGAAAAAGAGCTCCGGGCTAACACTACTACTACTACTACTACTACTACTACTACTACTACTACTATGGGCACCGGTAGCCACTTACCCGATGATGATAATGACCGCAAAGCATTGCCGCAAATGTCCAACACTATAGCCCAGACAGCCGTTCAACATAACTGTTCAATACTTGAAGCACAGACACTGATTATTGAACGTATAAATCAATTGGAGTCAGAATTGATAAAACTAGTCGTCGATTGGGAAATGGATGACCAGTTGTTAACTACCGGTTCCGCTGACCGACAATTTATCAATGGTTTACTCTATATGATTGGCGGTAACTATCGATATAGTTTAGGCTGCGATCGATATAATAAATTAATATAATTTTTAAAAAACTATATAATAATAATTAGTAGTAATGTATAAATACTTTAATTATAATGTATTATACAATATATTATAATAATAATAATATGATAATCACTATTAAATTAAATGCTTATTGAGATAACAATAATATAAAAAATACTTTTAATTATATTTTACTTTTATTTATATTTACTTTTATTATATGTTTTTTTTGTAATAATTTATACTAAATACTATTATATACATTTATAATGTATATTATATACCTATATATATATATATATATATATATATATATATACTGTATATAATTTTTACAGTTATATATTTTAATTATCTTATATAATGTAAACTAAAATTTCTATGTTTTTGAACTTAACTTTAATTATTTGATAATTTTTTTTTAGATTAAAATAATATTAAATAACTTTTTAATTTATTGAACTAAACATTATTTATTTATTAAAAATACAAATAAAAAAATAGATAATAATTTTTTATTGTAATAATAATAATAATTTGAAATAATAAATAATTACTAATTTTATTATAATTATAATATAGATAACAATTTTTTTAAAAATAATAATAATTTTTTCATTAAATCAATAATTGTTGTAATTTAATAACAGGTATTTCCAGTATAGCTGTCAATGGTATACATATTGTATAGCAACTGATTATATATATCATGTAATATAGTATATACATTGGTTGGACATACCATTGACTGGACAATACCAGATCGGGTAGTATATCAAGCATAGTTATCAATACTAGATTATGACCCAGATAGACTAGATTCATCGATGATCTCATTGGCTTCCAATAGTCGGATGCTAGAAACCTAAACAATCGACTACCTTGACTACCTGTGCTGGTACTGGTACTACCACCCATCAAACATATCAGACCATAGCTTAGTACTATTGTATTCAATAGTTCATAGACGGCCGTATCCATGGATGTTAGATAGACATCCCAATTGATCATTGATTCATGATGTTTATTCAAACCAATAGCAAACATCACTGTCCATATGATTAAAATTAGCTTGATCAATTGTTGATTGCTCAATAATTTCCTATAGATTACTTGATAATGTTGACTATTAATCAAATAGCCTATTAATAGGCCGGCCATATAATGTATACAATATTTCAATGGCATACAATGTAGATATAGATAAATTGTTGCTTTATTGCTATATATATATATATATATATCATAGTATCAATAATATATTAGATATTTATGTATTTAAAAAAAATAATTAATTATGGGGCGTAATTCACATATTACGTTGGCATTTTTTAAAAAGAAATCTAGACCCCCTCCCTCCCTCCCTATCCTATGTTCGCAATTGTTCACATGTAGTCATTGGGAAAAAATTACGTTCGTATATCTCTAACCGCTAACCCCCCCCCCCAAAAAAAAAATATTATCTAAATGCGAACGTTCTTAAAGTATCAGCCCCTTCCCTATGTTCGCAATTGTTCACGTGTAGTCATTGGGAAAAAATTATGTTCGTATATCTCTAACCGCTAACCCCCCCCCCCCCCAAAAAAATATTATCTAAATGCGAACGTTCTTAAAGTATCAGCCCCTCCCCCTATGTTCGCAATTGTTCGCATGTAGTGATTCGAAAAAATTACGTTCACATATCCATAACCGCTAACCCCCCCCCCCAAAAAAAAATATCTAAATGCAAACGTTCTTAAAGTCTCTACGCCCCCTCGTTCGCAAATGTTTTCTTATGCTAACCCCCCCCACACACACACACACACTCCTCTCAAGTGCGAACGTAATATGTGAACCACGCCTTATTATTTTTGTTTAAATTAATTATTTTTTAAAAAAATTATTTTTTTTACCTAATTATATGCAGGGGATCTTTAGTAAAATTTGCGCCATTAAAAAATGATTCAGATTTATGTTGATTAGTTAATGATATGTATAATATTTGCCATAAACATATAATAATAGCCAGTACAATTGATAGTATACCCAATTTATAATGACTAAAATAAATTTAATTAATTAATTAAAAAATATATACATGCATAATTTATTTATATGTAAATTTTTTTTTATATTACCGTTTGAAACACATAGCAAATATTGGCGTAATTATTATATAATAAATTAATACATTGTTATACCAAACAAGCGTTGGACACTACAATATATATATATTGTAGAAACAAATAATTAGAAAAAATTATAGTAATTATATTACATTAATAATAATAATAATAAATTAATAATAATAGTAATAATAAGCATATAATCAATAATAATAATAATACATAACATAAAAAAATGTTTTAGAAATTTATTTCAGAAATTATAAATAATTATTTTTTAAGTTTAATTATTCATATATTTATCTAAACATTACTACTATATTAAACTATAAATATTGTGTTTATTTTTTTAGTAAATATAATTTATAATTACTGTATTATTATTATTATAAATAAATAAATAAATAAATATACTGGATATATTATTAAGAAATATAATTATATATATATATATATTATACTATACTATTAAAATAGTATTGTAAGTTAAATAAAAAATATTATAATAATTATTATTATTAATTATATAAAATATTGATATTTCTATATTTAAATTTTTAATCTACCCAGGATTAAGCAATAGTATTTTATTTTTGAATAAATTATAATACAGTACATACTATTAATTAATTATTATAAATAAATAAATAAATAAATAAATCTACTGGGTATATTATTAAAATATAATTATATATATTATATTATACTATACTATCTTAAAATAGTATTGTAAGTTAAATAAAAAATATTATTATAATTATATAAAATATTTATATTTATATATTTAAATTTAATCTACCTAGGATTAAGCTATAGTATTATTATATTTTTAAAAAATTATAATACAGTACATACTATTAATTAATTAATTAATTAATTATTATTATAAATAAATAAATAAATATACTGGGTATATTATTAAAATATAATTATATATATTATATTGTCACGTTTGACGGAGATTAAGCCTCAGTAGAGGCCTTAAAGCTTCATAGCTTCATAGCTTTAAGCTATATAGTGAGGTACGAAGCATAGCATCATAATACACAGCGGTGTATTGAGTTTAGTTTTATAATACACAGCGGTGTATATAGCATAACATTATAATACATAGCAGTATATTTCAATGTTAGCGGCACTAACAACACCAATACAATACTACTGTATTAATTGACACTATATAATAATAATAAGTAACACTATAGCATACGATATACTACATAGGCTATATAGCATTAGAAAACCTTGATTGCATTATTTTGAGACAATAACTAGTTTAATGACAACCGGTACGTATTAACTAGGTCGAGACGGTAATAGCCAATAAAAGAGCAGTTGAAGTAGTTGTGTCATTGATAAGTAGTATATGATTGGTGTAATTAGAGCGCCGACTCGGAAAGTGTTCCGAGAACTCTGTTCCCAAGTCACTTGATTGACTGGAGACGGAGAGTAGAGTTCGAGACGCCGAGACGAGAGGACGTGTAGTATCTATTATTGTAACCATTATTATACTTATATATACTTAATCAATAAATTGGTGACGGTTAGCAACAGCAACAGTAAGTTAAAGTGTTTGTAGGCGCAGGCCTTCGGGCCTTGCGTTCGCCGGCGACGGTAGTCGCGTAAGTGTTGGACAGAGATCGGGTAAGATTTGTTTACTGAGACTGAGTCTCGCCTCCCGAGTCGTTCGGTCGAGGCTAGCGAAGTCTGATCTTCATTTGGTTGGTAGCTGAGACCACCGGTATCGTCTCGCTTCCCGTCGCGAAGACGGTTGAGGCTCGAGATGAGGTCTCGGCCAGATCAGGCCAAAGGGCCGACAGTGTAATACCAACGCCACATCGGGAGCGACCGGAAGGCGGTTATCGGATGGCCGTCAAGAACCCCTAGACATCTTATAACTTCGCGAAACAACAACCCCTAGACAACGTATAATTTCGCGATGCGATTAACCCCTAGACAGACGAAACTTCACAGACGACAATCCGAGTAGATGAGGTAACGTTACGTACTTCACGGTTATGGTTGGGATCGGCCACGGTCAGGCAATGGCGTCATGTAATAGCCACCGCTCGGCAGTCTAGTGCAGCGTTGGGGAATCGTAAACGAGGAAATCTGCATAGCGCTGGCGAGCGAAAGCGAGCGAATATTACAGATACAGGTCGGTGCGAGACCTACATGGTGCCTACGACACTGGCGACTTAAGGCCGATTTACCCTTACGTCGAAGTAGCGACGCAGGACGTTACATTTTATGGAGGCTCGAGTCCGGGATTTTCTGGTCTTCCGAGGATGGCTTTGGCTTCAAGTGTGATGGGCACTTTAAAACTCATTAGATTGCTGTTATCTTAAAACAGTGGGATTACGGCGTGTGTTGAGTTGTTCCGCACCCGATTATATATCTCTGTCCTGAAACTGAAATTAAACACATTGATTGATTATCGATCGAATAGAGCTTTAAAGCATTTTCTGTTTATTTTCAGTGAATAAGAAAACCCTATTTCATCGAATCTTCGATAAATTATCTACAATTGAAATTGAGAGAAATAACGATTACATAAAACGACTTCAATACTATAGAGATAATTACATGAAGTCGGTACAGGAATTAAACAAAATGTTATTAAAAAATATATTAGTTAAGGATGAGTTAAGAAAACGTAAATTCAACGAAGAATTATTTGTATCAGACGTCGAAACACTTATAAAACAATTAAAACAAATTTATTTTTGTCGAAAATATGGAAAATCTCTTCGAGACGCTATACGAGCAGCCCGTGAAACTGAGATTACAATGTACAAATCTTTAACTAATCTACTGGATTACAACCGAGAAATGAAAGAAAATTGTAGACAATACATGTTGCATAATGATAATGAAACATGTGTGGTGTGCTATTATGTAAAAATAGATGAAACGATGAGAATTGGA